TTTTTTTAGTAGAGATGAGGTCTCACTATATTGTCCAGGCTGGTCTCAAACTCCTGGGTTCAAGTGATCCTCCCACCTCAGCCTCCTGAATATCTGGAACTACAGGTGTGCACCACCATGCCTGGCTGATTTTTTTTTTTTTTAGTAGAGATAGGGTCTCACTACATTGTCCAGGCTGGTCTCAAACTTCTGGGCTCAAGCTGTCCTCCCACCTTGGCCTCCCAAAGTGCTCAACTTGTAGGCATGAGGCACCACACCTGGCCTCATCTCTTTATTTATTCTTTTACATGACCTTATGAGTTTCTACTGTTTAGCAGGCTAACTGGCCAATGTATGAGACTTGTGAAGGGTGTGTCATAAGAACGTTGCAAGTTACCATATTCGCAAAAAATGTAACACATTATTTCCCCATGAAACAATGACAAAATAAAACCTGGTTCTTTTAGTTATGGGTTGAATCACTGAAATATGAATGGGCAGCCTCTTTGATGATGCTGTCATATCCAGCCCTTATCTATATAAGTCTCAAATTCCTTCGTACAAATACTACTTTTGCCACTAGCCCATCCCTTAGCACCATGATATGATTTGGCTGTGTCCTCACACAAATCTCATCTTGAATTGTAGCTCCCATAATTCCCATGTGTTGTGGGAGGGACTTGGTGAGAGGTAACTGAATCATGAGGACGGGTCTTTCTCATGCTGTTCTTGTGATAGTGAATAAATCTCACAAGATATGATGGTTTTATAAAAGGGAGTTCCCTTACACAAGCTCTCTTGCCTGCCACCATGTAAGACGTGACTTTGCTCCTCATTCACCTTCTGTCATGATTGTGAGGCCTCCTCAGCCATGTGGAACTGTGAGTCAATTAAACCTCTTTCCTTTATAAACTATCCAGTCTCGGGTATGTCTTTATTAGCAGCGTGAGAACAGACTAATACACATCATTTCACCCACCAGGACCTAACGCACTTACCCTTCTCCCCATTAGGTATGTCTCAACCTGACAGCCCCAATTTGGGGTGTTCTTTTTCCCTACTTACCTTTCTTTCTCTTCACGTGTATTTACTTATTCAGATTCTTCATCTCACTAACCAGTCTTGCAGAGCAGCTTTCAAGCGTTTGTATCTGCAGATTTACAGCCACTTGGGATTACTCTCTGCCCTAGGTATAATCACCAAATTTTAAGAGAAGTTTGCTTTTTATAGTCTGGGAAGGTGATGATGTCCATTTCCGGCATGGAAAAAGATGTATAGTTGTTGATCAGGGACAGGATAGGAAAACTGGATAGTAGAATATTTTAAAGACTATTTTCACTATTTTATGCAATGATTTTTAAGACTATCAGAATGAGATTTATTTAAATGTGAGTTCAAATTTGGTATGTAGTTTTTTGTATTATTTTTAGAACCATACTTCCGCTTTACTACACAGATAATGTAGTATTGACTGTATTAACTGGTTAACACTGAAGTTGTAATTTGCAAAATCAAACTGTGATACAACTTCCAAACCCATTCCTTTCCTAGGTATTAATTGAAATATTATTTGACTATGCCAGAGTTAATTTATGCCTTTAAAAATAGCATGAAAGATAACAAAAATAAAACTGTATAAAAAATTAAAATAGGCCGGGTGTGGTGGCTCACGCCTGTAATCCCAGCACTTTGAGAGGCTGAGGTGGGCGGATCACGAGGTCAGGAGATCAAGACCATCCTGGCTAACACAGTGAAACCCCATCTCTACTAAAAATAAGAAAAAATTAGCCGAGTGTGGTGGCACGTGCCTGTAGTCCCAGCTACTTGGGAGGCTGAGGCAGGAGAATTGCTTGAACCTGGGTGGTGGAGGTTGCAGTGAGCCAAGATCGTGCCACTGCACTCCAGCCTGGGTGACAGAGCGAGACTCCATCTCAAAAACAAACAAAAAAAAGAAGTTAAAATAATCATACCATTTTAAAATGACTCAGGATTCCTTTATGTTTGTGCTGCTTATAGGTAAAAACAATACATACATGCATATATACATATCACTCCCTCTAGAGAGAACAGTTTATCTTTCTAGACTTTTTTTCTAAGCATATACAGACATACATTAAATTTGTTTTATAAAAATGGTACCATACTCTGTGTGTGTGTGTGTGTGTGTGTATACACATTCTTAGAATTTGCTGTTTCCTCTTAAGTATACATCTTTTTTTTTCTTTTTTTTTTGGAGGCAGAATCTCGCTCTGTTGCTCACTTAGCCTCCTGAGTAGCTGGGATTACAGGTGTGCACCACATCTGGCTGATTTTTGTATTTTTAGTAGAGATGGGGTTTCACCATGTTGGCCAGGCTCGTCTCAAACTCCTGACCTCCAGTGATATACCTGCTTCGGCCTCCCAAAGTGCTGGGATTACAGGTGTGAGCCACCCTGCCTAGCCAATTATACATCTTTGAATACCTATCCATGTTAGGAAATACAAATTACTTTATTAGAAAACCATCTTTGGGTGAAGATATTCTCCTTTACAAGAAGGGCTCATTTAAAAAAAAAATTTATTTCTGTCTTGAATGCAGTAGTTACTCAGTGTTTGGGTGAATTAATCAATAAAGGGAGTCTATTGGCATTATCATTAATTTTTAGCATTTCTGAGGAAGGTTTTCCTTTCAGATAAGATTTTTGTTCTCAGATGAATAAAATGATGACTTATGGTTGTAAAGAATATCACGCAAGATCCAATCTGTAATCTCTCCACTGTTCTAACCATAGTGACTCCTGGGCTTCTTTGTGATTGGGCATGGTCTACCTCTGTGGTGCACATTTCACCCTCACAAAGGCTAACATAAAGAATGGGGAATTATCATGAGAACCTTTGTGGCCAAAAAGGAAATGGAGTCTCGTGGAATTCAAGTAAAGTCATTGCCATGACACTGTTACTTTAAGGAAATTGGAACTTAAGATTATTCTTAAGGCACCTTTAGGGACCTGCCAAATCAAATATTGCATAGGCATAATTCAGTTATTCTCCTTTTGTCTTACTTTTTTCTTTTTTTAAATTTCTCATTGGTTTCCTTACCTCTTTCTCTGCCTTCCTGCTTTACCTTATCCTTAATTGTGACTTGCTCATGGTCCCTTACTTCTACTTCATCTCTTTCTTCTGTCAGTCCTATCAAGTCTCTCTGCCTATAGTTGGATTCCTTCTATACTTTTGGAAATATTTCCCAGTATCTGCCTAGAGTCAGATTTTTTCCATATTGCTAAATTTTTGGAAATGAAATTCTGACTCATATTAATCCTGTTTCGCTAGAGCTTTTTGTGCCAGACCCTCAGGTAGGCTGCTAGTAGTACATTGGATGGCTTCCCATCCTTCAGTTGGCCATCCTGCCCAGTCAACTGTGAACCAGGAACAAAAAGGACAGTTATCTGGAACAAAGAATGGGTATTTGAGCTTGTTCCCTCAGCAGGAATGTTCCCTCAGGCCAGCCTCCGTCAGAGTAGTCAGTGGTTGTAGCAGGCACCATGGTTTATGAATTTATCTGATGTGGCCATTAATCTGAAACTATTGCTAATTTGGAAAGCAAAGCTAACGTAAAACAAACAATCATGTACATTATATTTTCATAACAGATTCCTTGTTACAGAAGCAACATTTACTAGTTGTAAGAACATTTGAAAATACCGAGACCAAAAAGAAGAAAATAAAACCTTCCCAGTTCCCTAGCAGCCACAATTTTCTGTGCATTGTTCATTAAGTGCTCAGTGTGTAATAAGACCCAAAAGTGCTGCAGAAATTTAGAAAACCAAAGGAAACTATGAGTAGGAGAGAAGTAGGTGATAAATATGGGGAACAAAGAATTTGAGTCAAGCCATGAAGGATACTTAGGATTTTATCTATAGAGAGCAGGACATTCTAATAGGGGTGTAACAGAAAAAGACACATAAGAGAGAGTCTGGGCTGTAGATAAAGCTTTGAGAGGCTTTTGACTAGGGTTTGCAAAAATGTATGCCTAGTATTGACTGTGGTATAAAGAAATAGGCACTCTTTCCTATTGATAGGGACATAAACTGGCAAAATCAAACGTTTAGATAGGGCAATTTGGCAAGTTATGTTAAAATTTAGAGCATGCTGACACTTTGATCTAGAAATTTTATTTCTAGGAATTAATTACACAGATACAGCCATGTAAGTATGCAAAGATATAGATGTACAGAGATCTTTTGTAAATTGCAATTATTCTTTTCTTGAAAGTTTCATAAAACTTACCAGCAGTGACATCTGGGACTGGAGTTTTCTTTATGAGAAGAATTTTGAAGACTGATTTGATTTCTTTCATGGTTATTGGGCTGGTTAGAAGTTTTATTTTTCTATGAATTTATCCAGGATTTTTAGTTTTCAGCTGGAAAGTTAATCCAGGTACCTGGCCTGCCATTTATTATTTCATATTACAACAGTGTTGAATTCAAATCTGCATCTTTGAGTTCAAATTTGTATTTTTAAAAATGCCTCCATAATTTTAAATCTGAACGATAAAGGCTTAAATGAAACAATTTCCCATTTCTTACTAACATTATACACTTTATTTTCCAGTTACAACTTCAACGACTACCACCACCACTTTCACCACCAACACTACTACCACAATCACCAGTGGCTTTACTGTGAACCAAAACCAACTGTCATCAAGAGGGTTTGAAAACCTTGTACCTTATACTTCAACTGTTAGGTAAGCCTATTTATTTAAAAACTTGCATGTGTTTCATTTTATTTATCATGTACAAGACATTTGCTTGGATAACTTTAGAATAATATTTGAAAGTTAGCTAAATGATTGAGTTGAGGGAACAGTTAAGAGAAAGATTTCTGTAGCTTAGGAAGTTGAATAACTAACAGCACACCTTTGCCTTCTGAATATCATTATAATAGAATCATTACTATTACGAATAATAGCTACCACTTATTGTGCAATTACTGTATGTTTGGCAAGATGACAATGCATTACAAGCATCATGTCATTTATCCTCACAGTAACCCTATGAGGTAGGCAGTATTTTCATTCTCATTTTGTAGGTGAGAAAACGAGAGCATACAGAGATTTTATAATCTGCTCATAGTTGCATACTTGTTAATGGTTGATCCAGGATTAAAATTCAGGCAGTCAAACTCTGGATATACAGGCTCTGGAGCCTGTATATGATGTTTCTCTCTAGTATTTGTTCATTTTTTAAGTTAAGCTTTTTATTTTGAGATAATTGTAGAGTCACATGTATATGTAAGAAATAATACACAACATTCTGTATGGTCTTTATATCATTTCCTCCAGTGATAACATCTTAACAGTAATATAGTATAATATCACAACCAAGATATTGATATTGCTACAGTCAAAATTCAGAACAGTTTTATCACTACAAGGATTCCTCCTGTTGCCCTTATATAGCCACACCCACTCCCCTCCTTTCCTTGACCCTGAGCAACAATTAATGTTCTCTATTTCTATAATCTTGACATTTCAAGAGTGTTGTATAGATAGAGTCATATATATGTGACCTTTGGGAATTGGATGTTTTATTCAGCATAATTCCTTGTGATCCACCCAAGTTGTCATGAGCATCAATAGTTTGTTCTTTTTTATTTCTGAGTAGTATTCCATGGTATTTTGGATGCACCATGGTTTGTTTAACCATTCACCTGTTGATGGACATACAGGCTGTTTCCAGTTTTTTTGATATTATGAAAAAAGCTGGTGTGAACATTGGTGTACATGTTTATTATGAATATAAGTATTTCTCTGGGATAAATGCCTAGGAGTGCTGTTGTCGGGTGGTATGGTGGTTACATGTTTTTCGTTTGTTTGTTTTGTTTTTTAAGAAACTGTCAAATTCTTTTCCAGGGTACTGTGCCATTTTACATGCCTACTAGCAATGTATGGGTGATCCAGATTGTCTGCATTCTTGCCAGAATTTGGTGTTGTCACTATTTTTTATTTTAGCCCTTCTGACAGATGTGAAGTGATATCTCATTATGGTTTTAATTTGCATTTCCCTGATGACTAATGATGTTGAAAGTCTTCTCACATGTTTATTGCCATCAGTAGAGCCTCTTTGGTGAAATGTGTGTTCATATCTTTTGTCCATTTTCTATTTGGATTATTTGATTTTTTTACTGTTTGGTTTTGAGAGTTTGTTATGTACTCTATATGCCAGTCTTTTGTCAGATATGTGGCTTATAAGTATATTCTTTAACTGTGTAACTTGGCTTTTCATCCTCTTAACAGGGTCCTTTTGTTGTATCAAAACCTTTAATTAATGAGTTACAATTTATCACATTTTCTTTTAATGAATTGTGCTTTTAGTGTCAATTATAAGAAATCTTTTCTTAGCCCTAGATCCCAAAGATTTTCTTCTGTGTTTTTCTAAAAGTTTTATAGTTTCACATCTTACATTTAAGCTTGTGATCCATTTTGAGTCAATTTTTATATAAGGTGTGAGGTTTAGGTCAAGATTAATTTTTTTTTGTCTGTGGATGTCGAGTTTTTCTAACATCATTTATTGAAAGACTATCTTCCCCCCAAATTGCTTTTGCACCTTTGTCAAAAATCAATTTGTGTCAAATGCTTTTTCAGCCTCAGTTGATAGTCTTTTAAGATTCTGTTTCTTTATCTTGGTGAAGTGGTAGATTACACTGATTGATTTTCAGATGTTCAACCAGCCCTGCATATGTTAAATAAATCCCACTTGATCATGGTGTATAATTTTTTGATACATTTTTAAAAATTTGGTTTCCTGGTATTTTGTCTGAGGACTTTTGTATCTAAGTTCATGAGAGATATTAGTCTGTAGTTTTCTTCTTCTTTTATGTCTCTAGTTTTGATATCAGGGTGATATTGGCTCTATAAAATGATCTTAAAAGTATTCTGTTTTCTGTTTTCTAAAAGAAATAATGTAAATAGGGTTATTTATTTACTTCTTATTATTATTTTCTGAGACAAAGTCTCACTGTGATGCCCAGGCTAGAGTGCAGTGTCAAGATCTTAGCTCACTGCATCCTCCACCTCCCATGTTCAAGTGATTCTCCTGCCTCAGCCGAGGCCTCCTGAGTAGCTGGGATTACAAGCTCCTGCCACCACATCCAGCTAATCTTTGTATTTTTAGTAGAGACGGGTTTCACCATGTTGGCCAGGCTGGTCTCGAACTCCTGACCTCAAGTGATCTGCCCGCCTCGGCCTCCCAAAGTGCTGGGATTACAGGCGTGAACCACCATGCTCGACTAAAGGGGCTTTTAGGCTAAAGGGGCTTTTAAATTACAAATCAATTTCTTTAGTGGTTCTAGAACTATTCAGGTTATCTAGTTAATCTTTGATGAATGTGTGGTTTTTAAAGAGTTGGCCCATTTTTTATGTTGTTAAATTTGTGAGTATAAAGTTGTTCATAGTATTTCATTATTGTCCTTTTAATGGTTGTAGGGATATTCCTGTTTCATTTCTGATATTAGTGGTTTGTGTCTTTCTTTTATCAATTTTATTGATCTCTTCCCAAAGAGCCAGCTTTTGTTTAATTAATTATTCTCTATTCTTTTCATGTTTTCAATTTCACTGATGTCTACTCTATTATTTCCTTCCTTCTGATTGTACTGCGTTCATTTTGCTCTTTTTCTAGTTTGTTGAGGTGTGAACTCAGACTATTGATTTGAGACTTTTCCTATTTTTTAACATACACATTTAGTGCTATAAATACCCCACTCAACACTTCCTTAACTGTGACCTACATATTATGTTATATTGTGATTTCATTCAGCTCTATATACTTATTAAATTTCCTTTGTGAATCCCTCTTTTACTAATTTATCATTTAGAAGTGTGTTGTTTAATTTCCAAGTGTTTGGAGATTTTCTTGTTGTTTTTTCTGTATTTATCGCTACTTTGATCCCATTGTGGTATTAGAATATGCTTTGTATGATTTTAGTTCTTTTATATTTATTTAGGTTTGTTTTGTGGGTGGGTATACAGTCCGTCTTGATGAATGTTCCATGGACATTTGAAAATTGTGTTTTCTGCTGTAGGGTGGAATGTTCTATATATGTAAATTAGATTCTGTTGCTTCACTGTAATTTCAGATTCTGTATTATTGGAGTCTTTCTATCTAGTAGTTCTTTCAGTTGTGGAGAGTGGCTTTTTGAAGTCTCCGCCTTTAATTGTGGACTTCTCTATTTCTCCATTTAGCTCTATCAGTTTTTATTTCATGTATTTTGAGGCTTTCTTGTTTGGTCGCCTACACATGTAGGATTGTTAGCCTTCCAGATGCCTTGATTCCTTTATCACTATGTAATGTCTCTCTTTGGTTCTAGTAATTTTCTTTGCTCTGTAGTCCACTTTATTTGATATTAATATAGCCATTTCTTTTTAAAAAATGAAGCTTGCATTCTTTCTATTCTTTTACTTTCAAACTGTGTATTAATATATCCTTGTATTTGAAGTGAATTTCTTATAAACAGTATATTGTTGGATCATTTTTTATTCGCTCTTCCAGTCTCTGTATTTTATTGGTATGCTTAGCACATTTATATTTAAGGTAACTATTCATATGTTAGAGCTTAAATCTGCCATTTTATTTGTTGCTTCTGATTTTTGTTCTTCTCTTTCCTTTTTTTACTCTGCCGTCGGTGGTTTGAATATTTTTGGGGGGTTTCATCTTGTTCTGTTAATAGTGTTTTTAAGTACATTATTTTGTATAGTTTTATTACTGGTTGCTCTAGGTATTCCAGATACATGCATTACTTACAACAGTGTAGTCATACCACTACACTGTGTGGGTGAAATACAGAAACCTTAATTCCATTTAATTCCTTTTACCCTTCTTAGCTTTTAAGTATGGTTGTCTCAGCCATTTCTTCTGTGTACATTGAATATCACATCACATGGGGTTATAATTTTTAGTTCAGCCATCAAATGATTTAAGAAACGAGAAGTAGAATAGTATATTTACCCTTGTCTATACCCATTTTGATATTCCTTCCTTTATATCAGGGGTCCTCAACCCCTGGGTCAAAGACCAGTACTGATCTGTAGCATGTTAGGAACCGGACCACACAACAAGAGGCGAGCAGCAGGTGAGGATGCATTAATTACTGCCTGAGCTCCGCCTCCTGTCAGATCAGACATTAGATTCTCATAGGAGCGTGAACCCTATAGTAAACTGCACATGCAAGGGATCTAGGTTGTACACTCCTGATGAGAATCTAACGCCTGATGATCCTCCTGCAGGCCCCTCCCACCGTCTGTGGAAAAAGTGTCTTCCACAAAACCAGTTCCTGGTGCCTAAAAGGTTGGGGATCGCTGCTTTATATGATATTCCAAGTCTTCTGTTTTCATTTCCTTTCTGTTTAATCTTCAAGGGTAGGTTTGCTAGCAACAAATGATCTTGATTTGACTTTGTGTGAGAATATCTTTATCTCCCCCTTCATTTCTGAAGGACATTTTCACCAGATACAGAAGTCATTGTTGACACTTTTTTTTCATTCAGTGCTTGGTTTTAGATGAGAAATCTACTGTCATCTAAACTGATATTCCTTTTTAAGTAATGCATTTTTTTCTTTCTGGTTGCTTTCAAGATTTTTTTTCTTTGTCTTTAGTTTTCAGAAGTTTAATTATTTTGTGTCTTAGTGTGGATTTGAGTTATTCTGTTTGGAGTTTGTCCAGCTTCTTGAATCTGTGGGTTTATATCTTTTGACAAACTGAGAGTTTTCAATCTTTTTTTTTTTAAATACGTTTTTCAGTCCCATTCTCTCTTTCCTCTCTTTCTGGAACTCTTATCATACAAATGTTACTTCTTTTATTATTGTCCTCCAAGTCCTTGAGACTTTTTTCATTTGTTTCTGCAAAGTTTTTCTTTGTTTTTCTGTAAATTCTATTTGTCTGTCATCAAGTTTTCTTCTTCTATCCTCTGTTGACTGCATTCTCTTATCAAACTCCTTAGGTGAGCTTGTTATTTCAGTTATTTTACATTTCAGTTCTATATCTTTCATTTGGTTGGTTTTCATAATTTCTATTTATCTGCTGAGATTTTCTATTTTTTCATTTGTTTTAAGAAAATTTGAAATGGCTTGTTTGAGCCTTTTTTTGATGGTTGCTTTAAAATTCTTTTCAGATAATTCCAATATCTGATACCTCTCAGTGTTGGCATCTGTTGTCTTTTCTCTTTCAAGTAGTGGGTTTTCTGGGTTTTGATATGATGGGTAATTTTTAAAATTTTATCTTGGACATTCTGTCTATTATGTTAGGAAAGTCTAGGTCCTATTTTCATCTTTTTTTTTTTTTCATCAAGCATCTCTTTATTGACATGTAGTACAAGGGATGGGTGTGTTTGTATGTTCAACTTCCCACTGGACCTTACCTACACCACTCCAGCAAAAGTGGAGCACTTATTCACATGCTGTCTCAAGGCAGATGGGTGGTTTGGAAACTCTGCTTCCCGCTTAGCCTCACTGACTCATCGCTCATGAAAGGCGAACGTTGCATGCTACCACTTTATTGCTAGTAAGTGGAGATGTAAGCTCAGCTCCCAGCTGGGCCCTGGAGCCCCCAGATCAAGGGGAAGTGGAGGACTGACTCACACTGCTTAGTTGCTGCAGGTGGAGGCAGAATTTAAGCTTCCTGTTGGCCCCACTGACATAAGGGGAGGGAAGAAGCATGATGTCAACTACTCTGTTTCATATCACTTCATTCAGCCTCCTTGGTTGGTATGAAGGCTTAGCTCTCTACTGGGCCCAGCTGACACAGGCTCATGGGAGAAGGGGGACAAAGTACTGACTAGGCATTCTTTGCCCTACCTCATTTAGTCTTGGCTTTGCCAGTGGATGTGGAGGTCAAGCTTCTCATTGGGCATTGCTGACCCCATGGATGGTAGGAAGTGGGATCCCTACAGGTCCTTACTTGAATTACCTTGTTCAGTTGTAATGATGCTGGGTGGGTATAGAGATTCAGCTCCCCACTGGGTCTCTCTGACACCAGAGGCAAGAGGTGAAGCCTAATGGTGACTAAACCCTGCCTCTTCTGCCTCACTGAGCCTTGTTGCTACTGGGTAGGAATTTAGGTTCAACTTGTCATTGGCTCCCACAGAAAGAACCCTGGTGGAGGAACTGGAATTGTGCCTGTGTCTTCCACTTAGGGAATTGATGATTACCTTCCCACTGAGCCCTGCTGACACTGCCACAGCAGAGGAATCAGCATTGACTGGCTCTGCTGGCCAAGGGATCAAAGATTAGCTAGTTACTGAGCCTTTTTTGATACCACTTGGCAGGGGAATCAGAGTTCTGCATGGTTCTGCCCAGTGGGGAATGCCCACTCTCTTGTGGATACTACTCAGACAGGGAATGGGTCACTTTGACTAAGAGCTGGGAGAGAGAGAATCCTATCTCCTTAGCTATGCCTACCCAGAAAGGAGCTTCTGTCATGCTGAGCTGGGATGAGGGGAAGAGAAAGAGCAGATTATGGCACAGACTTTAGCTATTCTTGCTGTGATTTAGTAGGTTTCTTAATAAATCTTTATTTACTATATTCCTCTAGGATAATTTCAAGTGACTTTGAGGGGTTGTTTTTTTAAATCATCTTTACCAGTTATGTTTGTTTTCTTGGGGTGCAGGTACGGGAAACTCCTTACATGCTGTTTTCTTCTCAGAGTCCTCCTGAGTTCATTTTTAAAATCTGATCACACTTTTTAAAGTATGATTATTGGATCATCCTGCATCCTTTTATGTTTTAGTGTAGTAGCAACTCCTTTGATGACATATGGTCACCTGGAGGGTCTTATAAATGAGTGGAACCTTGAGCTGGAAGATCAAGAGAAGTACTTTCTTCTCCAGGCCACTCAGGTCAATGCTTGGGACCGTACATTGATTGAGAATGGTGAGATGGTAAGAAGATGTTTTCATTAATCTACCTATATTGTGCAAGTATTTACAGATGAACATAAGAACATAGACCTGTGTTTTGTGGTTTTCTTTGTTGTTGTTGTTTTGTTTATGTTTTTGTTTTTTGAGACAGGGTCTTGCTGTATCACCTAGGCTGGAACACAGTGGTGCAATCACAGCTCACTGCAGCCTCAGTCTCCCTGGCTCAAGCAATCCTCCTACCTCAGCCTCCTAAGTAGCTGGGACCACAGGGGCACACCAGCACCCCCAGCTAATGATGTGTGTGTTTTTTCAGTAGAGATAGGGTCTCACTGCATTGCCCAGTCTGATCTCAAACTCCTAGGCTCAAGTGATCTTCTTGCCTTAGCCTCGCAAAGTGCTGGGATTATAGGCAGAGCCACCATACCCAGCCCTGTGGTTAATTTTCTATTCCAATATTGGTGAGCAGTTCAAAATATATTCCTTAGGTAATAAGTACCCTGAATAAAAGGAAATCTTTCATATTTGAAGTGTATTTGAGAAAATTAATATTGCTCTAAAATTATTATATAAATTCAAATACTTATATTGTTGTATTCATATTTCTCTTTATAGATTAGTATTTTACATGGAGAAGTGAACAAAGTGAAACTGGATCAGAAAAGGTAGAACCTTAGATTTCCTTGGTTGAAAGATTAAAGACCTATCTTTTTATTCAGTGTTTTTTTTCCCTCTATAGTTTGTTAACTCTTCTTTTTGTCACTCCAAATTCCTTTCATCAGCCCTTTTATTAACTTACTTTATTCAGGTTGGAACAAGAATTGGATTTTATCCTGTCAGAGCAGCAGGAACTAGAATTTCTGTTGACTTATTTAGAGGAGGCTACGAGCAACCAGAGTGAACTTCATTATCTGCAGGATGCAGATGAGGAGCGTGTGAAGACGTAAGTAACTGAATAAAGATTGAAGAATGGGGCAGGACTTACATATTATGAGAGCATTCCAGGAACAGAGGGGAAAAGTCGAATTGGAAGGCAAAGAATACAAATCGGTAGAAAGGGACAAGCTTTTGTAGTTGACATTTATCAATTTGTTTGACTGTTTTCTGCTTATCTTTTCTGGATGCTTGTAAATGAGGAAATCATTCTGGCAATTTTGTTTTATAGCATTTTGTTTATTGTTATTACTGTCAACCTTATGCATGTTCACTGTAAAGGTTTTGTATTTGTCAAATTTGTTCTTAAATTAGAAGTACAAATTTTATGTGTGTGGTGTCATGGTATTGTGGGATATTTGTGGTATCCTCTTTATGTTGATTCTGCTAAAACTAATGTTCATGCAATTGCTTTAGTGATAAATCATTTGCTATTTTAAAGGCAATTTGTTAATCTGGAGGCAAACTGTATAGCTTTCAAAAATGGAGTGATTTTGTCAGTGTATTAGGAGGGCTATATTTTATTTGTGAACTCTTCAGTCTTTACCTTCCGTCAGTACAGTGCCAACGTTTCCAAAGTAACTTTATTTCTCTGGAACTGAGGTTTGGTAGTCTGTCAATTTATTAAGTATTAGAATTTGTATGAATGAACAACATAATCTAGACTGAGACTAAATGGGACACATTTTATCAATGACTTATTATGAGTTAAGACTGGGCCTATTTTTAACATGCTTGCAAGTTAACTTTTTTGTAGGAGCATTAAATGTGGTAAGTACAACTAATCTGTATTAACCTAAACCAGTTTCTGCTTTTGTATTTCAACCTTTGTGAATTTTTCTTTTCTTTGTATTGCTTTCTATGCATTCTATCATTTTTTTGAAACATATAGAGTTACATTTTTGGCCATAAGATCCTAACTGTAGTTTGAAGAAATCTTCATGACATTAGTTCCTTTCCAGTTGCTCTTTTGTAGTCAGATATATATTCAAGATGAAGTCTTGCTCTGTTGCCCAGGCTGGAGTGCAGTGGCACGATCTCGGCTCACTGCAACCTCTGCCTCCTGGGTTCAAGCGATTCTTCTGCCTCAGCCTCCTGAGTAGCTGGGATTACAGGCACGTGCCACCACACCCAGCTAATTTTTGGTATTTTTAGTAGAGACGGGGTTTCACCATGTTGGCCAGGCTGGTCTCGAACTCCTGACTTCATAATCCACTCTTCTCGGCCTCCCAAAGTGCTGGGATTACAGGCATGAGCCACCACACCCAGCCCAGATTTATATTGTGATGAAATATTTACCAGAATCTTCAACAATCTAGGCAACCAATTCTATGGCATAAGTACTATGCCATAGAAAGGCAGTAGATAGTTGTTACCTACAAATCTAATTGACTCTTTAAATCTTTATACACATTAAGGTTGAAAGATCCTCTGGCCACTTTAATTCTTATAAACATATTTATTGACTGGGTCGTGTGTGCGTGTGTGTGTGCGCGCGCGCGCGCGTGTGTAGTTTGTGTGGAAATCTTGAGAATTTAGGCAACTAGTGAACTTAGCAGATTTGTCTATCTTTGATTATCATGAAGCTCATTTCTCAAAACATCTTTTTTGCCTGATGGAGTACATTTATATGAGGTTTTATTTTGCAAATTTGTGTATTCAAGATCATTGAAGACATCTCAGCATTTATTGAATATTGCCAAACCCTAAATAACTTCTCTTTTGTATGTAAATGTCCTGTAGGTGTATTTTGACACCTTAAAGGATTCATTTGCTCTACAGATCCCCAGGGTATTCACCTGGAGGATAAATAGATGATGATAAAAATGGCAAAGTAGATAAAAGCCTTCTCATTTGGAGTCTTTTTAGAATATGGTAATAATAAGTTCACAAATGCTGCATCCATGAAAATATATCAGTGGTCATAATTGAACTCCACTGAAAAGATAGGGGAATTAGGGCAAATCCAATTAGCAGTGTCATGTTTATATGTCAACAAGAATAGGTAGTGGAGAAAACACTTTTTGTTAATCCCTTTATTTTACTTGCCTTTTCAGTTACAGATTAGCAGAGCGTATAGATGCTCAGCTGAAACAAATGGCCCAAGATCTCAAGGATGGTGTTAATCACCTGAATACATTTGAAAGTTCTGCTGACACTACTGATCCGGTGTGTTTACTGCTTTGTGTACTTAGACAACCAAGATTTAGTATGAAATTAGCATTCAGCCAGGTATGGTGGCTCATGCCTAAAACCCGAGCACTTTGGGAGGCCGAGGCAAGAGAATTGCTTTAGGCCAAGAGTTTGAGACCAGCCTGGGCAACATAGTGAGACTAGCCTGGGCAACATAGTGAGACTCTGTCTCTATAAAAAATGAAAAAATCTATCTGGGCATGGTGGTACACACCTACAGTCCTACTTACTCTGGAGGCTGAGGTGCTATGCTTGCACCACTGTGCTCTAGCCTGGGTGACAGTGAGATCCTGTCTCTAAAAAGAAATTAGCATTCTGTGGTTCCTTTAAGCTAGTCCCTTTCATCCATCTTCTATAGTGTTTCTTCTTGCCTCTAGAGATATGAAGCCCCTTGGGTGTGGTTAGTGGAGCAGGAAACATTTAGAGGCAGAAAAGGTTGTGAGCTTTTTGTGGTTATTCCTAGGAAGGTGAAAATATTACTCTTCCCTAAGCTGTCATGGTTTTCTCCCTTATTCTTCACATAACTAAGTATGTACCTGTATTTATTTTTCTGTTCACTTATTAGCCAGTTCATTCTTCTTTTTACATATTTGTTTACATACTCATGTAAGTGTTAGTAGGTATGCTTGTGTCTGTTAAACACAACCAGGCAATCCTTAATTTATGATTAGATTGTATTTTAACATTTGTTAGGCTGACTGTTTGAGACTTTACATTTTTCTATAGAAACTTGGTGAAATATGGTTATTAGGTTTATACCTGCCCCCATAGAATACTACTTAGCTCATAATAAATGTATTGTATCAGTGGAATTACAGCTGAGGCTCCAGTTAGAGTTAAGGTGCTGTGAATTAATTTGGCAGTAAGAAAGAATTGGTTTTTTTTTTTTCTTTCTCTATACTCTGATCAGAGTTTATTTCCTGTACCTTTCCCTGTTGTCTCAGCAGCTAAATGGAGTCCTCGTTTTCCCATTCCCACTCTGTGGCAGTAATAGTAAGAGGGATCTCCCACTGTGCTTTCTATCAGTTAAATATAATTAGGAGTGAGGCCAGGATCGGGTAGGTGAAGATGAATGACATATATATAAGTGGTGATTATTCTTTAGTAAGCTCTTTGTTCAATTATATACAGACAGTTCTTTATCTACATACACATTACCATTTTTTAATTATAAAGATACAGTGTGTTATAGCTGAGAAAGTATTAGAATTTTAAGTCGTTTAATCTCTCTGGGTCTTGGCTCCTTCTTTTGCAAAATGTCAAGGATAGACTAAATGATCCTAAGTCCCTTCCGGCTATAAAAATTATGCCATTCTCTACTTTGGGTGAATCTAAAGTTGAACAAAGACAAATATAAATTAGTCTGAAATTATTCATGACACCATGTCCCTGTGTTCACACAGATGATCAAGAGTTTACAAAATACAGATTTTCTCTTAATGAAATATTAGATTACCATTGTAATTCCAAAACTGAAAATTGTTTTGTTGTAATAGAATTTTGATGCATAGGTAAATATATGCAGATTTAGACACTCAGCAGAGCTGATTTCTAGTTTCTCCATGTTGAATTAATATAAGTGGAGTGTTCTCAAACAAGTAAGTAAAAGGAGATTATAATTCTGTCTTTGTCCATTTTCTCTACTTCGCCCTGGATTGTTTTGTTTTATTTTAGTAGTGGGTAGTAAATGGTTTGAGTCTTTTTGTTTTCCTGGCAGGGGTGATTGGGATGTTTAAGATGAGTCAATTAAAGGGTAATTGCTGTTTGATTGCAGAATAAAAGAAGAAAGAGATCACTGACAGCCCTTTTTGCAGATAGCATAAATCCTTGGACAAGAAACGGGAAAAACATTTTCTGAACAATAATATTCCTGTAGATAATTTATTGTAACCAGATTAACAAAGCTTTATTACTCTGGGTCACATACTAGGGAAGAAAAATAGGAGCTATGTGTTCCAGTATTCACGGTGATGAGATTTATCTTTTTTATTCCCCCCTTTTTTGTGAGCGGCAATGGGAAAGACCACCTAATGTCTAAAAGTTTTATTAAGTAAGTTCATATTATGCACTGTGTTGTTCAGTCACATTTTCTTACAAAATCCATAAGGAAAATTAAGTCATCTATATTACCAGTACCCTGATAATATACTGGTGTATTTCTTTCTAGTCTTTTTTGCTATGCTGCTAAAAATACTTCTTTTGTTTTAAAGAGTACTGAAAACTAAATAACTTTTTGTATTCTGTCTTCACTTAACATTCTTTCATGGTCTTTGCCCAAAATTTTAACCATTCTTTGAAATCATAAGTTTTAATGGTACTACAGTGTTTCATCAGGGTTGACTTTGCCATAATATACTTAATCATTTTTTGCTTGGTAGAGATATTATTTCCAATCTTTAGCCAATATAAAATAGTCCAGTAATCACCACTTACATTTAGATTTGATTATCTACTCTGGATAGGCTCCTGGAAATAGAATATACTGACTGAGTCAAAAGGTATGAATATTTTAAAGCTTTTGATATGTATCATAAAAATTTACATTTTGAAAGGTTGTGTCAATTTATATTACTATTGGCTATATATGAATGTACCTATTTTTCCCATGCACTCGATAACTGACTATGACCATTTTTAAAAAATTGCTGATTTGGTTGACAACTGGTGCTATTTTTAATTTTTTATGTGAATTCATTGTCTTGTGAAATGTGTCTTAATGTTCATTATACTGGGGCAGTCAGTTTCTTATTAAATTATAGGTATCCAATTCCTGATATTTACAAATAATTAATTTGAACCAATATATAAAGATAATGAACATTGCAAATATGAATTAGCAAAAAAAACACTGAATTAGTAATTCTCAGTCCATTTCTTACCAGAAGAAATTAAAAGTCACTTCCTAATGTCAATTTCTTATGTTTATTTTTTATTTACCACCTCAGAATAATCATAATCTAAAAGTCTTATATGTGTTTTCAGCTCTACCAGATCTGCAGAATTCTGAATGCCCATATGGAGTCTCTGCAGTGGATTGATCGGAATTCAGGTGGGAGTTTGCTTATATGCCACTCTGTGTATTTATTGCAAGTAGAAAATGTGATACATGTCAGTTGTATGCTCCATGATCAAACTCATATAAAAGCTGTTGTATGGGTGTTGCTTAACTCACAGTATGTGTATTTTAGTTCTGAAAAACTGTAATTCCTTATTTTTTTAAATGAAATACACATAGGATAAACTAGAAATTAATGAAAATAGAGGATGGATAGCAATGGGGCACATAGAGTTGGGATAGAAGCAAGACTTCTATGAATATGCCTTTTTATACAGTTTTGACTTGGGGACCATATAAATGTTTTACATACCAAAAAATTAGAATTAAGTAAAAAATAATGGGAAGGAAGACAAATACTAAAATTGAATACATACTGAAACTAAACAAACCTACATAACTAATTTATAACGATCACCCAGTTCAGATAACTTTTGAACATAGTGTTCTTGATGATGCATCCTTCTAGGATGTCATCTTAAGGATATAAGGAACCTCAAGGAAATTTTAAACTTTCTCTTAATAGGTTTATTATTAGTTTCAGAATGATAATACCAGTATTACTACCATTTCACATATATTGAGAAATCAAGCAAAGCATATTAGTGATAATAGAAGTCAAGATTTTCATTGAAAGTCACAGAGATAAAAGTTATTTTTCCTCTTCTTTTGTATTTGCATTATAAATTTGAATGTAAGATATCAGTAATTAATTCCTGTTCCTTTGTTCTATACACAGAAATTGCCTAGAAGCAATGACAGATATACCCCAGTGGCAATGAGCACACCTAGAAGCTAGATCTTGGTTTCTAAATGCCATTCTCACTGAAAGGAACCAAGTCTTCTTGGGGAACTGTCTAATCTCATGCCTCAGGCTGGGAAAGTACAGAGTGAGCTTGGGACTTCTTGTGCAAGAAAGCAATCATTGTTAAGTGACTAATAAGGTTATATCAGGCCACAAGATTGTGCTTGAAGGGACTCCCACTGGCCACATTAAGATGGTTTGAACATCAAAAAGAATAGTAATAGTAACAGATTATAATAGATTGAGGGAAAATAAAATCTCATGAATCTATAATGATACTCCAAAAAACAAAGGAAGTACAGGAGAAAGTCTACAGAAGCATGCCAGCTAATTATTAAAAGGAATGATAAAATTAGAAAACTACCATTAATAAAACTTTAAACAGAACACTTTCATTAAGCTCACCCTCATCTTGACACCCTGCCTCATTCGTAAAATGTTCAAACTGTCATTTTTTGGCAGAAAAATATGATAGCAGAAAATGGACCAAATACAGTCTGTAAGTTGCTGAGTTAATTTTTTCAAAACAGCTTTATTGAGGCATAATTTACATACCATAAAGTTCACCCATTTTAGTTGTACAATTCAATGAGGAAAAGAGCCATTTTGCAACCCCAGCACGATAGTTGATTCAGGCAAGGATCATCAATGAATGCTAAAACCATTGAGTTTAAGATTGTTGGAGAACAGGATATTTATGTGGTCTCAAAAATATCACTCCGTAGATTACTGAAAAATTACGAAGGACAAAATGTGCCTTTACAACAGCTACCTAACATGTACCACTTTAATGAAGTGATCAAACTTAGCCTCTCCAATAGTAGGATAACTTGACTTTATGTGCCCCTTGATCTGACATGATAAGAAGTATACAATATCATTTATGTAGTAGTCTTATCAAAAATGTTTAAGTTGAATCTAATCATAAGAAAATAATCAGATATTCCACGTGTGAGACATTCTGAAAGATGATGTAATATTCTTACCCAAAATGTTTAACTTGAATCTAATCTCTAGAAAATAATCAGACAAATTCTATGTGTGAGACATTCTGAAAGATAATTGGCTTAGATTCTTCAAAAAGTTTGTTATGAGAAAAAAAATTTGAAACAAACAAAAATAAGTGGATAGTCTTAGATTAAAAGAAGCATAACATTCAAGTCTGCCTTCTTAACCTTGATTAGGTACTGATCAAAACTAAAAAGATATTGTTTAGAATATTGGGGGATTGAATATGGACTGTATATTAAATGATATTAAGGAATTGTTTATTTTACTAGATGTGATAGTTATTATGATTATGTAGGAAAATATCCTTATTCTTAGAAGATTCAGGCTATGTTATTTAGAGAATTCTCATGTCTGTAGTTTACTTTCAGCAAAAATTTGCCAAGAGAAAGATTTAGCAATTTGTGGCAAAATATTAACAGTGGGTTAATCTAGGTAAAAGGCATTCATGTGTGTGTTTTTTACTATTCTCTCAACTTTCCTATGGACTTAAAAATTGGGGGGCAGAAATCATTTTTATAGACTTTGCTTAAATATGGAATATAATGAAGCCTAAGGAATTAAGACAAATAGGAGCTGATTAACCAGAGTTACTACTTTTAAAGACGTGGCCTTAAAATAATACAAATTTTATTATTTGGCATTCTAGATTTTTCATTTTCTGCATTAATAGAGGTCATCAACCATGAACTTCTTCAGCTTCTTTACCTTTCAGACATACCTATATCATCATTCATCTTTACTTCCTTCTCTCCTGTGTTAAGGAAAAAATATTCTATCCATTTTGAAACTGTTTTGAATTATCAGAGGGAGGTTAAATTCTATATCACTTTAATATTTTTAAAAACTACCTGATGGGGAGAGGTTTCTAAGTCAGATAGATATGGGTTCAAGTCAAGGCATTACCACTTAATTATTGTGTGACCTTAATTGTTACTTAATCTCTCTGAGTCTGTATCTTCATTTTTAAAATGAGGGATAATATGTACCTGTTAGGGGTTCTGTAAGGATTAAAAGAAGTAATGTCAGTAAATGGTAGTGGCAGAACTGGTTACTGATTCAGAATTTACTATGTTTATGAGGTCAGGTAAGAGAAAAGAAGGGTCATGTGATTCAAAAGGTAGCTATTAAATTGAATCTAGAGAAGGCAGTTCCAGGTAGATTATCACCAAAAACCAGTTACCTAGACTTACCTAGGCAAGTTATAAGAACTGCTGAGATGTGAGAGTGTCAGTAACTAGAAAACACTGAGGAATGAGATTAAACAATGCTTGGCTTAGTTGTCTTCCTGTCGCATGTTTTTCTACAGTGATCAGTGCTTCTTGGGTAGAGTTGAGGAAGGTGTTCAAAAGTAATTTGGGCTGTAGAGAAAAATTATAGTGATTTTTTTCTCTTGGCAGGGATTCTCTTTATCAAAAATGAAATCTCAAGGCTTTCAGCCAGTGTTTCCTTAATAAAATTAAGACTGTTAGCATTGAAAGGGACTTACTTTACTTAAATGGAGAAACTGTGGCTCAGAGAGGTTGAATGACTTCTTTAAGAACACACAGCTAATTAATGGTAGAGCTAGGACCAGGATCCAGACTTCCTTATTATCAGAATGGTGTTCTTTCTTCTGGTATGCTCTTAAAACAACTGTAAGGTAGGACCACTGAATATAAAAACAAATCTTAGTCATGTACCTAATAGTAGAGGACAAAGGTTATCAAAGTATGATAGTACTTTGGATAGGATATAAGTTCTAGGTATCTGGGGAAAGTTCTAAGTCAACACAGGATAAAAAGAGAAAAACAATGAAGAGTAATGATTACTTGGAGTTACTTTTTTGCTAAAAATTCATTTGAGCTGGAGAGGCGATGAGATTTCATATTGGTTCTCAACTGAGACAAAGGAGGCCATGATAAAGAATGAGAAAAGAAGACTGGTATTTCTTGACTCTGTGGGCTCCTTTTTGCCATTCCCACCCAAGAAGCCTTTCTTTTTCATATCAGGAAATGACAAGATGAAGAAATTGAGAGTGGCAGGGTTTAATTATGCTGTCTTAACTGAGGTTGTTTTTTGTTATTTTATTTTGTTTTTTAGTAGTTAATTGAATCATTTATGCTGAAATGATCTGTGGACTGAAAAGTTTTAAGAGTAAGCTCAATGAATCCATTTATTCCTACTCAAATAATAGTTATAGAAAAAATAATAGATGTGTTATTTTAACAATACAAATATTATAGTTTTTTACTAAAGAGAAATCTTCAACTTGTATATAGTCAAATCTTTATTTTAAAAGGATTCTGGGAAATGTTTTGATAATTTAATATCTTTAATTTTAATACACATTTTTTCCATCATAAAACATGACAACTGTTGCACTAAGAGGATCACATATTTAACTAAAAAGTTGGCTCTTTAAAAGTGGTTTGGAGGCTGGGCACTGTCTCTCATGTCTGCAATCCCAGCACTTCAGCGATCCCAGGATGGATCGCTTAAGCCCAGGGATTCGAAACCAGCCTGGGCAACAAAGTGAGACCTCATCTCTTAAAAGAAAAAAATAACTGGGTGTGGTAGCACACACCTGCGGTTCCAGCTACTTGGGAGACTGAGGTAGGAGGTTTGCGCTTGGGAGTTTGATGCTTCAGTGAGCCATGATTGCATCACTACACCCCAGCCTCAGTGACAGTGAGACTGTGTTTAAAAGAAAACGTGGTTTGGAAATGAAACATTGCACTTTAAATATGTTAAAATATTACATAAAAGTCCAGTCAACTTTTCAATATCCATGAATAAGTTACAGAGAACCAGGCCCCTTTCTTTCTCTAACTTATATGATAGGTTAGATAAGTGATGGGACTCAACTAGAAAGGTGTCAAAGTACTAGATAATTGAGTTAAGGAGTGTCTGAACATGTGTAGGCAATGATCAATTTTTACATTTGATATTTCCCTCCTTTGTTTAACATTAACTATGCCTTTTTTTCTCCCGATCAGTCTAGATAATTGGGAGTTAGTAGTACTATAGTGGAATACCAGTTTCCCCTCTTGTTATTCTCTTTGTAAAAATTTTCAACATTATTTTGAGGTTGACTTGATGGCAATGCTGCAGTCACACATCTGTCTTCTGAGTTGGTAGTCACTGAAACTGCAGCAACTCCAGTTCTTCTGGGACCACTTATGACAGAATTGGCAATCCA